ATACCATAAAATTTCTGCATCACTTTTTCCTCATAACTCAAACTGTAATTTACTTTATTTAAAGAAGAAGATATAATTTATTGATCCCCTAGGGGGAAATAGTTTTTTACACTCTTTTTTTATAAACACACACACACACACACACAGGCTGAAATTCACACTTCATGCACATGTGGACATGTGCATGCAAAGGGGAGAGATTTGGAGTGAGGGCCAATAAAAGAACTAATCTTAGTTAAAGATCCAGCATATTGCACCCCTCTTAAAGCTGCAGTAGGTAGGTAACTTTTTGTCATATTTGCTGAAGCTTTCATTATATCCTGACAGTAGTACATGAGACAGATAATCTGTGAAAAAATCTGGTTCCTCTGGCTCCTCCTAGTGCTCCTAATGTCATTTGTAAGAATCCACTTCACAAACTGAGATTTCAACTTACTCACAAAGTTAATGCTAATTAGCTAGCTAGCTAAAGCTGAGCAAAATTGACGGCTGGAAATTGCCAGCTAGAAATACGAGGACCAAGAGAACTATTGTCTTAAAAATATGATAAATGATAAATCTGCCACCGTTTCCATTGGATTTTGGATTGTTGCAGAGGTTCTGTGGTGAACAGAGTTTTATGATATTAACACTTTTTGTTCAGCAAGATCACCTTCATAAACGAACACTACTTTTATGATTTTTAAAACGTAAAAGCAAAGGCCAGAAGTATAAAGCTAATGTCAGACTATAAATGAACTACACCATAGTTGCATGACTTACACGTCAACACCACTAAACTTCCAACTTGTAATTAAATATTGTTAATTAAGTGGTGGGGTATTTACTTATGTCGTACAACAAAACGTGAAAATTTACTAATTAATTAACTTTAGCATTTGTTAACAGGGATCTAACCAAAACCCCATTTAAAAAAAAACATTGACTTTAGGGTGAGGGAACTGGAGGGGCTAAAATGCTAACTCATTTCTGGGTTTTAGGACTCATTCCTGCAGCACTCTATAGTAGAAAACCTAAACTAAAAAATTTGACCTATGTTGTATTTAACCAGATTAACCCTTTGGGGAGGTTGGAAATTAAGTCAATAAATGGTTTCACACATCGCAAGACAAACAAGCATGTTTCTGTGTGTACATGCATGCACTCACAATGGTAGCTGGTGGATATTTTGCATGCAGAAATAGTGGTGTCACTGTCTTCTGTTTGGGATTAAGTGTCTCTACGTGCACACACAGCGAGTGTTTACTCCCAGTCTGATTTCCGTCCTTTGGTGTTCCAGGGTTCGTAGGAACAGCGAGAAACTGGGGAACCCGGAGAAGCAGAGGAAACGTCTGGACAAGAAGGCGGCGTCCTCGGCCAACCTCCTCACCCGCTCCCCCAGCCTGGAGAAGTGAGCCACGCTGCCATCACTCACAGCTGTCACCACACAGTCACACAGCTCACTTTTTCCTATGGCTGCTGCAGCCTTGCATATCTCATCAAAGAGACACTTGCTGGAACACTGATGGCCCCTATGAATAATAATAAAATTCCATTCCCATGAAAAGTTTGCGGTAACTGTATGTGATTCTGAAGTGAGGAACTGATGGATAAAAGCTAATGACTTTTTTGAATGGTGTCATGTATATGTTTCACACAGTTGTTTTCTGTCTCCACAGTCGGGCTAAGGAGCTGATTGCCAGTGCAGGTGATGTGTCTTTAAACTTTTTTGCCTTTAAGCCTGAAACTGAGATTGACATCACTGTGTTTATCCACTTTATCTATTTATTTAAGGGCCAGGGAATGTAATTGGCCATTTACATTAGGTATTTGACATATAGCACTTAAAAGTCCAGGGGGGTATATTACAGATACTTCCTATCTTAAGTCTTAATTTAAGAATTAACTTTCTCTTAGTTCATCCTATCTTACATGTAGTTAGGAAATACTCTAACTATAATCTAACATTGCTTATCATCTTTTATGTCTGTTACCTAGCAACCAACACTACTTTTCTTATTTCGCTGAGCATCTTTGTAACCGTTGCTTTTTCCCATTAAAACATACTGAAACATACATTGACACATACAAAATAAGCAAAAACAACAGGCACAGAACAGATGAGTTAGAGGTAACCTCTGTAGAATCTCTAGATAGCTAATTTACATCAATCATTTTTTAGCTAGTGTTTTGCTAACATTAGCTACCCTTAAGATGTTACCATTTTAACGATTATCTTTTCAACATAGACAAGCCTTGCACATAGCATGTACAGGAAAGGAAAAAAGTTGACTGAGGTTCCAAAAGGGGCGAGACTAAGGAAGTGTCCCCTATTATCCCAGTTATTCGTTTGCACGTTAGCATCATATCCTGGTTTCAGCAACCTGGATAAGCCTTCGTCCTGTCCAGTTATGCTGTAGATAGTCAGTACTGCTGCCACAAGCTAAACTGGGTTCATTTGAAGCTGTTGAGGTAACTCAGTACAAAAACAACAGAGATTACCCAGATATGGAGGGGGCAAAGACACAACTGTATTGAATGATCAGAAACCGAGATACTGTCAGTTACGTAAACAAAGAGCGAACAAACCAGTTTTTTTTACCTTTTAATGTAACTGTCATATCTCGGAAAGGGTTAGACATACCATAACTATTATAATATTTGTGTTGGCATTGGCTCCTGTTGGCAGATACGTTTTTGGCAGTTTGTCTTTAGAAAGCTACCTGCCAGACACTATCTATAGCCAGACATCATAGGACAGACTATACAGTATATTTCCCCGAAAACAGGGAACTTTGATCGACAGGTGACCTTTTAATCTGGAGTGCAATGCAAAAACATCACAGCAAGGAATACTTTTCCCAATGAATGCTGTCTGTAGTGTAACAGAAGTATAATCCTTAGAGGAACAAATAGACATGCTTATGGTTTTAGAAAGGCTGTCAATGATCATTAACACATGTTGGGGACTTTTCACTTGTCTTCAACCTCCCTTACTTGAGTGTTGGCAAGGCCTTAGTTGAACTTCTATATGTGTGCCCAGGCAGCTTCTCACTGGTTCACACATGTAGTCATTCGCACAAAAATGAGTGCATTTCCAAACCAACCACATTTGTGGTTAGCGTAGCTTTAATGAGCGTTGGCCTTCAGACTGGTTATAGTAAGCCCCGTTTTTAGGCCTCATTCCTACAGTGTTTGAGGACACTCTCTTCTGTTTGTGAAAGTAAAGCAAAAGAAGAATTCTACTTGTAAGAGCTAATGGAAAACTTTGACTTGACAATCACTGTGGCTTAACACTCTAAATATGATCAGTTGTCAACTAATTGGAGTTTTTTTTTGGTTGGAAGGTTTTTTTTTTGTATTTAAATAATAGTGTAAGTGCAGCCAATCAGAATTCACAGTTTATTTGCAGGTGCTGTAATCTGGTTCTAGACTTGTGAATCGCTGCTCACATCTCCAATTTGTTCAGCGACTTGAATAGTTCTGATGTTGTTTAGCCTGGCATTGCCTAGTCTTGCGATACCAGATGATCGGAGATCCCAGCGCATACCAATCGTGTTTTTAAATGCAAAGTAGTTGCTTAAACGGCGGCAAGATGGGCACCTAAAAAACATAGACCCCTCCAGGCTTTTTAGGACACTGAAAATGGATGTCCCAAGCAATGTTATATGGCACAAGCAAACGACTTCCGCAAAACAACATGTAGACTAAGTTTGGTGCTATTTTTTGGTCTAGCTGAGAACCAACTTTTCAGGTTCCAAACCAATTTATTTTTGTTCGAATGCTCAGAATTGTTCAAAACTAGGTGCTTGAACCTGAACAGAGGCCCATCATTTTTCCACCCAGTTTTAGCAACTAGAACTGGGAGAAGATCCTCAGTCTCCATTGAACGAAGCTTTAAGAGACAATGAGCATTATCAAAGGGCTTAGACCATGGTTCTGGATACAACTGGAAGTACACTGTAACAACTTATCACTCGCATTTTATTTGACTGACGTTCCATGTTGACTAAATAGCAGTATACTAGAATAGAAATAGAAGTACAAGACAGTACTTGCTACCAATTGGCTAGGGCAAAACAGTGATGTAGCTGCTTGTTCCAAAATTACTTGTTTGTGCAACTGGCAGTGCCTTGTATTGTTATTTTCATTAGCATAACATGGAGAAAACTAGCAAACTGTGCTGAACGAATAATAACACCAAACTACCATCTAAAATCAGTATCAAAAATCCCACTTTGGTCGGGTTCTAGTTCGGGAACTTACGACCTTGGGAATGTAGATTCTCTCCCACCTTGTAAGTGATGATAGGAAAGTGTGGGGAAGTGTACATTTCAAAGTCCTCCCCAGGGAAACCCGCCTAGATAACTCTAGATAAAACTGCTTTACTTAATTCTGACGTCAAACTGAAAGCCACTAGGTCGTTGAGAGGTATGTTACTTCTTAACATACCCTTTGAACCACCATACATATCACTCAACAGGACATTTCCCCCTCCCTTTTTGAGTTCTTTTATCCAAGTTCTTGTGAAGCCAAACACTGCAGGGCCAGTTTGGGCCGTGGGCACCGCCTGGAATCACATCCACTGTGGTTAGCCGAGCTACCACACCACTCCAACTCCCCTGACGGAATGATGGATGGCCAGCTTTGCAGAGAATTATGCCAAAGAAATGCTCTCTTTCGCTTTGCCTCTCATTCTCTCTGGATGGCTTTACAACTGATTGATTGAGTTATAGCTGTGCTTAGCATAAGCCATTTAGATTTAAATTTAGGGGGACATAGGACAAATGTCTCTGGAGATTTAACTGTTTTTAAATACTGTTTTGGTCCTGACCAAAAAACTCTTACTGTAAGAGTTATTTATTCATTGATCAAAAAGTTGATTTAGATCATAATTTTTTGTATTTTATCTATGCAAAATCTGGCGTTTGTCTTTTAAAGCTGCAGTTGGTAATTTTTATCAACATTACCTTTTGTCATATTTATTAATCTTTTACTATATCCTGACAGAAGCACATGAGACAGATAATTCTTCTGGCTCCTCCTAGTGCTAATGGCATTTGCAAGAATCCACCGGGCCCGAATTAAAGAAGCTGGAAAGATTGTTGATTGATTGTTGAGTCTCATTCCCAGCGTCGATATTTGACATTCTGGAAATGTGTTTTTTAGTTTTCCAGTCATGGAAAAACACCTAGAAATTGAAATTGCCCCTCACTCAGATCTTCTACTTAAACCTGGGTGCATATTTGGTTTGAAACTTGACTGTTGCTAGGATAAACCGCATGGATAAAAAGGGTTTACCAGACACAAGACTTGCGGTGCTGTGTCTATTTTTTCTGAAGCCGTAAGTGGAATTCTCATATTTACATGCGTACAGCATTGATGATCTAATGTACATTTGTTGTTGTGGTTGATAAACACATAGTTAATTGTATGTGCAATGCACACTTTCACTCTCTACTTCTTGTTTTAATAGGCTAATAGGTAAGAAGATAAATCTTCTGTAAAATAAAATAATTTTTACTTCATTTGAACTGTTACCTGTGGCTAATGTTACATTTAGAGGAAAACTGCATTAAACTGACATCAGTTTGCCTCAGACTGCAGACCCCTGAGACAACAGTGGAAAAATTGGCTGTAGTGAAACACTGACCACCTACCTTTAATGAACCTGAGACACTACAGGATATTATATATTATATGACCGTTTGTGAACGAAAGTGCTGTCCTGTATTGTTAAGAAAACCTCCTGAAAAAAAGTTATGGAAAATGATTTCTTTAAAGGAGTGTGAATGAGTTTTGTTCTTATCCCGCTTAGCTTGGATTTATTTCTTCCTGTTTCCTGGCTCTCCCATGACTTTTGTTGCTGCTAGAATGTCTATCTAAGTCTCCTCCAGGTGTCTCTCTGGCCTTTTACCAGTAACAACCATTTAATGGTCAGACAGACAGTTGGGTAAAGACCCTGAGCCTTTGCAGTTTTCTGCTTGCCTTCACCTCCACTCTCATAAAAGAACAGAACAGTTGCCAGCACAAAAGAACAGGCCAGGTTCGAAGTCCCAAAAAGAAATGGAAAAGGAAGATATAACCCATCTTGAAATTCAAAGCTCATAGATCTAGCACGAATACATGGGGAATAGATCCTTTGGGATTCCTAAAGTCAAAGTTAGGTCAGCTATGGCCGGAATCAGCTGTGACTTAAAGCTCAGAAGGCCCTTGGTGTTTATTTGTCTGGCTAACCCCATGCTTTCATTCTCACACAGGATCCCCCGGGTCCAGAAGAGGAACCTACAGCCAAGGTAGACCCGCTATAATGTTACGTTGTATCTTTAGCTCTTTTCATGCTGGGAAGGTCAACAGGGCAAGCTGTACTTTTCCAGCTATATCCCATTCACTGTTGCACCAGTCACACAGAGTTTTCTGCTGTTACTAGGCTGTAATTAGCAGGATTTATAGATGGGTTGTATATTAAATAAATAGATAAATTATCTCTTTTGCAATTATCCATGCATTGCCCCTAGATTATAACAACTCCAGCCCTTACTACCAGTTGAAATACCTTTAAAGGCCAATACAACCCATGAAATGCAGTTTTCCAGTTGCTAAAAAATGGTTACAGCTCCTATCTTGTTACTAAAAGGTTATTTTCTCTCCCAAAATGACTTGATTTGATTCATGTGAGTTATATTTTAAAGATTATAGCTCACCCATCATCATTTTTACCAATGTAAATACCTTTAAAGAGCCAATATAACCTATAAAATGCACTCGTGAACTTGCCAAAAAGTGATTACAGCTCATACCTTATGACCAGTTTTTTTCTGAACCCATTGAACCCATGGCCACTGCAGCTCTACCAGGTGAGCTACCAGGGCGCCCCAATGGTTCATCATATTGGAAGTATTAGTATATAAAAAAAGGGCAGTGTTGGTAAATAAACAACATGGTCACTATTTGAAAATTACAATGTACAGCTAATGGTAGTAAGTAGAAGTTAGATAGATATATTAAGGAAAAATAAACCATAAAACACTCTGCTGTGTTTGTCTTCTAGAACAGTCAATCAAAATGTTCATCCGAGGCCGGCCGATAACCATGTACATCCCATCTAACATCCAGAACTATGAAGACCTGAAGATGGAGCCACCCTCCGAGAGACTGGAGCTGGACTGGGTGTATCCTCCCAGAAAGCCACAGCAGCCTCTTGTTCATATTTATGAGGGTTATGTTACATTCAGACAGGGCTGATTTCACTGTGTAGTCATTTCCTGGATCCTAGCCATGCTGTCTGTATTGGAAAGTATCTCTCTAATATTCTAGTGTCTGTGAGAGCAGCATCAACCACAGATTAGCTGTTAGCCGTTGTGGGTGCCATAAGTTTGGAGGGACAAACAATAATGTCATTATTTGTTCACTTCTATGTCAGCGAGAAAAATCATACAAACTCAAATGTCAATTTAGTCAGTAATGAAACATTTCCATTGTTGGGTTAACTGGTTCTTTATGGACCAGTCGTTAACATGAATTTCACCTTGACCCCATCATGCCAGTTATGGTTACCGGGGACGGGACTGCCGGGCCAACCTGTACTTCCTTCCGACAGGCGAGGCAGTGTACTTTATTGCCTGTGTTGTTGTGCTTTACCACATCAACAACCGCACACAACGCCACTATCGTAAACACACAGACTGTGTCCGCTGGTGAGTGAAAGTGAATTTTTATCAAATGCATCCATAGATAGGAGGAGATTAAACTCAATCGATCAACATTCTGATTCTGGGAAACTGACTGGAGGTGATTAGCCTAGCATAATCTAAAGACTATAAACAGGAAACAGCTAACCTTGCTCTGTTAAAAGTGAATTAAAAAATCTCTGAAGCTCACCTACTGGATTTAGCAATCCGCATTATAGTCGGAGAAGCTACAATGCAATGAAGGATACAATAATGTTTTCCAAGGAAAAGTTCCACCGGGCCTGAACAAAAACAACCAATCAGAGCAAAGAAAGAGGGTTTTTGGTTGTTTTCGTTCAGGCCTGGTGGATTCTTGTTATGACCCTCCAAAATCTTTTTAAATGCACTAAAATCCATTTAAACCATTACAGCTCATTTGAGCCTGTTAAAACAAGGCCCCTTTACTCTTTTAAGAGCTATTAACATGCTGACAACCAACAGGCCAAGGACGAATAAAGTTATTTTCTGCTTCACCTAAAACTGAACTCAGGTCTTCATATGGCTGCTGGAGGCGGGTGCTGTATTTACTGTGTGTGCTAGAGATTTGGCAGGGTGCATGTTACCACATGCCTCCTAAACCACTTTAACCACACAACTGTACAAAATGCTACTCAGCTCAAAGGATACGTGTGATTTGATGTCTCTTTTGACAGCTAAGATAAAAAAGGAAGCAGGTTCACATGAGGTTTCAGAGGCAGGGGACTTTCCTAATGCTTCATGTCTGGTTTCATCCACTGTGCTCTGCCTCAACTGAGTCCTAATACCATTTACACAGCCTCCAGTGGAATATCTGGAAATTCAGTGCCTGTTCTTTCAACAAATTACTCTAAATCCCAATGAGTCCATGAAACCATGAATATTATCAGCCTGAACAAATGATGAGACTCATTTTGGGAGTTAGCTGATAGTCAAGACACCATACTCGATAAATCCAATTATATAGTTTTTAAACTGATCCAAAAACACAATCAAATTTGAAAGACTCAGTATGCTCGTAAAATATGTTTTTTCTTTTGGGGCCCAGAAGCGTGGGGAACATAGTTGGATACAGTTTCTGGCTGGGACCAGTACCACGGTTTTGGCCTAAATGTATGGGAAGATAGATATGTGCCTTTTTGATAAATAGAAAAATAAAAGCAATGGGGCTTTATGTAACAGATACATTGCTCCCATTAATATATGGAGGCCAAATTTGTATATATTTCTTAAATCATGGTTAGTTATTTGGTTTCCAAATGGCTATTACTATTATATTAAAGCTGCAGTAGAAAAAGTAAAAAAATGCAAAAAAATAAATATGTCTCTAGTTTTAGTTTTTGTGAATTTGGTCAAATTTGTCAACAAGCATGAGGATGTGTGCATCTGTTTATAGAGACTGTGAGTCAGTTGTGTTTGTATTCTAATACCTAAGCTGACAAATACTCATCAATCATATTATAATAGGAAAAGCCTAACTAATACTGAAACTAATAAAAACAAATTGAAAAACAAAACTGAAACGAGCAAACCTGCTTTGGAAACTAACTGAAACTGAACTGTATTGTAAACAAAACTTAAAAAAATAAATGAAAAGTAACTATAATAACTTTGTCACTGACAGCAATCAATGTTTTTATAATAATAATGGATCAGATAACTATGTGTAATGTGAAAGTCATCACTCATTATAACAAATCCACCTCAGCCGTAGCGCTTCTCTGGCCACAACTTTACTGTTGTAGTTCAGACTCACAGATTGGCCTGCTGTTTTCAGTGAAAAAATCCCTAAAAACCCCACCATACACTACCTGTTCAGCAACAAAAGGCAGACAGAGTCTAGCTGGTAAACATAATTGAGCATTTAGCAGCTAAAGAGCCAGATATTTCTTTCAGGAGCTGGTAGAGACCAAGAACTAAGCTAAAAGAGAGTGAATATTTGACTTATATTCTAAACATATGAATACAAACATGATTCGGAATGCAAATGTTGCTGTTTTCTAACGTGAAGTTGGTTATTGGGTTCACAGTTTGTTCTACTGCAGTGGCCTAAGAAAAAATCCCAGCTTTGAATATAATATTTAAAGTGATAATATGTAACATTTCTGTATTTAAATGTGTATAAACACTAGCTCTATGTTCTATATGTAGTTGAGTTTTGTACTGTCATTATCCCAAATGTTTCCAACAATGTCATTTTATTCAGCTAACGCTGTGTTTCACCGGTCGCCTGTCAATGGCGTCATTTCCCCTTTGTGCCTGCGTCAGCGT